GGCATGGTGATTAAGGCGCTGGACACTCCCAAATGGCTGATCATGGTTCGTGTCCTGGACCTGGTGGCTTGCTTTCTCACTTTCCCTCCATTCTGTCTCTCTGCTCAAATTAAAATAAATGAATGAATAAATAAAACTAAATGAATTTTAAAAATGATCTTCACAGGATGTTTTGATTTCAAAATCAACATCCAGTCTCTGAAGAAAAATTAGAACGTGCAGACAAGCAAAGCAAGGAGAACGAAACAAAAATACAGCTCTGCGCCCGCCCCAGGCACCAACTCTGCAAACTGGCTCAACTTCCGCTCAGCTTTTCCCAGGTAATACAATGTATTTATATATTCATCTACAGAGACTGAATCACGGGACCAGCCGATGGTGTAATGGTTATGTCACTGGACTCCCACGTGGTCAATTGCGGTTCGAGTCCCAGACCTGCGCGTGCCTAAAATCCTGAGAAGAGAATGGAGGAGAGGGGATTGCAGTATATCCATCCCACCCTGGGAGGTGATTTTTTGTTTTCTGTCTCTCTGGTGAGTGCACATGCCCTATAGCAAAAATCTCTCTCTCAAGAAAGAAAAAGGAAAACTAAATCATACACCATATACCCAGTGTAACTTTGCTTTTTCTCACTTGGCATTATATCATCCATATCTTTCCATGTCAATAATCATTGATAAAATCTAAAAATCAAAACAAAACAAAAGACAGGGATTTTCCGATGCCGTGATCCTTCTGCCTCCGCCTCCCAGTAGCTGGGACGACAGGCATGTTCGTCCCCTGCGCCCAGGGATTCGAGCAATGTCCTCCCGTGGAGCTTCGGCCGGCCAACCAGCATGCACTCGTGGCTGCCTATGATCTCCTTGTTCATGGTTAGAGAATGTTCCATCATATAGGCGCGTGGGTGTCTGAACTTGTCAGTCCCTCCTCTTGCCCTGTCTTCCCATTTCCATTATTCTAAACAACTGGGGTGAACATCTTTTTGCATAAATGCTTGTCCACATTTTCATTTGCTTGCCTAGTTACATTTCGTAAGGTGGAATTCCCTGATCAAGTGACATGCTCATCCTTAAGGCTTTGGACATTGTTTAACCTCTGGGAAAGTACAGTAGGTTATACCTCAGGGACGGATAATGGGGCGTGTTCACTTTTCTTTCTTTTTTCTGGGCAGGGGGAGGGAGAGGTTTTTGCTATAGGGCGCGTGCGCTCGCCAGACAAACAGAGAGACACAGAAAGCGAGAAGTCACCCCCCTGGGAGGATGGCCACACCGCAATCTCTTCTCCTCCATTCTCTTCTCAGGATCTTGGGCACGCGTGCACAAGCACCCGGCGTGAGTTTCAAGTCACCAGGTCCGGGACGAAAACCGTGGTCGACTACGTGGGAGTCCAGCGACATAGCCATTACTCTAACTGCTGGTCCCAGGGGTGTGTTCACCTTTGTACTCAGGGTCTAGAACAACATTTTGCACACCACTAGTGCTTGATAAATATGACAGACTATAATGTGGGCATAATACACCCAGAGTCCTCCACGTGCATGGTCTGTAGGCCTGCTGCCCTTCCCTTAGCTCACCAGGAGACAGCAGAGAATTTCTCATACATGTGAGAGAGGTGAGAGATCCCGAGAAGGAAGAGGACCGCCACCGCAGGGCAGTGCCATCTCATAACCCCTAGGCCATTACTCAGCGTCCACTGAAACGTGGGCGCTAATGTCTCGCCTATCAACAGATCTATTCCAACATGAATTAGAGTCTAAATGATTTAAACCAGCCCACTGTAACCATGCCAGGTAAAAGTCGTGTCCTAGGAATACCAAAGCTTAGTGGTAAAAGAAGGGGCCAGCAGGTGTCGTGATGGTTAAGGGCTGGACTCCCACATGGGTGATCGTGGTTCGAGTCCTGGATCTGACTGATTGCTTTCTCGCTTTCCCTCTCACTGTCTCTCTCTGATGAGTGCACATGCCCTATAGCAAATTAAAATAAGAATAAGAATGATAAATAAAACTTTAAAGATAAAAAGGCTATGAAGAAAACGATGGCAATATGCAACCACCCAATAAACATGGCAGAATCACCATTCGGGAAGACACAGTCCCCCTTCAATATCCGATGGAACCAGCTTAGGAAAGCCCTTGCCAGAAGAGTGGGAGCAAAGATAAAAGGGCACTGAGGCCCATCTGAGCTCAGGCCCTCAGCTTTGATTTCCAACTGTTTTTTAGACTGACTTCTTTCAAATCCCCATGCTAAAGGTCCTGGTTCATTTTGACAGAAAAAGATAATCACTGAAAAACAGAAGGAGGTTTGGGTTAGCCTTACAATAGACTCTCTGTTAAACCTCACAAATGAAAGTCACATTAAACTGGATTTATTCATCCCTGACATCAAAGAAAGGAGAATGAAGGAGAAAAAATGTATTAAAACATGCAAAAATAATCTTTTTATAAAACCTGACATTTATGAACATAACTCAAAGAAATACCTTAAAATTAATCTGTGGATTACAGCAATTTGGAAAGTATGGGAAGAATACACAAATGAACTGGGGGGGAAAACAAACAAAATGAGATATATTGACATTCTGAAGTCTCTTCTCATTTGACAACAAATATTTTCAAAGAACACAAGGCTCGCTCAGTGATTAACAATTCATTTTTTTTACAAGCCACATTCCATTTTAATCATACACAATATAAGAAAAATCCTCTTTAGGATTACCTGCACAAAATTGCAAAGAGAAAAAACAGTATAAGATTATATGACAGTTCCAAAGCTGAATTACAAATGGGTGCACCCTGCAGCAGATAAAAACGAGGGAAAAGAAGGGAATGATTACATTTTCATTTTCCCTGCGAGGGCTTGATGTTAATTTCAATTCACTTACAAGCTGCTTTGTAAAGGATTATTAAAGAAAACAAATAACCTGGCGGTTTGATGACATAAGATAGTGGGAAATTACTTCTCTGAGATTGTCACTTAGACGCCGAGTGAGCTCCAGACCTCGTCCCAGCCTCAGTTTCTCGTCCGTAGCCTGGGAGGTGGCCATAACACAGCCCCAGCAGGATTAACGTGAGGATTCCGTAAGATATTGGCATTCAAGGGCTGGGCTCATGGTAGGAACTCACTTAAAAAACAGAGATTTTTATTGACATGAGGTATGGCAAAAACGTATTCTCAAAGTGCCTGTAATATGACCAGGTGTAAGGCTAGTAGAATATAGTTTTTGAGGGCCAGCCAGGTGGTGTGGTGGTGAAGGTGGCTGGATTTCTACACGGCCGACTGCACAGTTAGAGTCCCAGATCCAGTGGCTTGAAAATCATGCCGGGTATGTGTGTGTATCCGCCCCAAATCCTGAGAAGAAAATAGAGGTGAAAGGATTGTGGCATGGCCATCCTGGAGAAGGGGCGGTTTCTCACTTTTCCTCTCTCTCTCTCTCTCTCTCTTTCTGGTGAGTGCACATGCCCTATGGCAAAAACTAAAAAAAAAAAAAAAAAAAAAGCCTTAACAGATCCAGCTAGCGGGGTGTCCAAGCAAGCAACCAGGTAGCTAGCCCCTCTGGCTGACACATACGAGGTCAACGTATTCCCTACTACTGCGTGTGGTTCTGGAAGGACTGAATTAGACGGCACACACAGGGTACCTACTATGCCTATGTGCTCAATACTTTAGTTCTTTGTTTTCTTAGGCAGAGATTTTGCTATAGGGCATGTGTACTCACCAGAGAGACAGAGAGAGACAGAGAGACAGAAATCGAGAAATCACCCCCAGGAGGGACGGCCACGCCACAAAGTACTTTAGTTCTTAAGGGCAGAGCCTGGGGAGGTGGGAGAAGCCCATGGGTGCCAGAGATTGCTGTGGAGTGACAGGGCCATTTTTAACCTGAGTTGCTCACTCTCAGAGCTCACTGTCCAACTCTACCCTGTGCTGGCCAGTGTGGTAGCCACCAGACAGGCGTGGCCACTAAGCCACAGGGCATGGCTACTGTGACTGAAATTCAAGTTAAAATGGAAAAGCTAAATCAGGATAAGTTTTAAAATATTGAAATGACTTAGGTACCGGGATATATGTGGTTAAATAAAACATACTGTCAAAATGACCCTCACCTGTTACTCTCTTTGCTTTTTCAATTCCACAGGTGGCTTGCATCATAGTTTTACTGCAAAGTGCTACTGGGAATTTGTGCTTTCTCGGGGGCATGTGGGCCTGGCCTGTGCACAGGAGCCCTCCACGGGAGAGGCCGAGCGGAAAAAGCATCAGTGCATCTTCATCTCAGCAAGACTGTCAAATTCTTTTTTTAGAGAGACTTTCGCTATAGGGCACGCATGCTCTCTGGTGACACAGAAAGAGACAGAGAGAAAATGAGAAGTCATCCCCCAGGGGGAATGCCACACTGCAATCCCTTGTCCTCCATTCTCCTCTCAGGATATTGGGCATGCATGCACACATATCTTGTGTTAGCTTCAAGCCACTGGGTCCAGGACTTGAACTGCAATCAGCCATGTGCGAGTCCAGTGCCATAACCACTATGTCATCTGCTGGCCCCAAGGCTGTCAAATTTTTAAAGAAAAAAATCTCGGGACCAGCAGATGGTATAACGGTTATGTCGCTGGACTCCCACGTAGTTGACCATGGTTCAAGTCTTGAACCTGGCAGCTTAAAACTTATTCCCGCAGTGTGTGCGTGCATGCCCAAAATCCCAAGAGGAGAATGGAGGAGAAGGGATTGTGGCGTGGCCATACCCCCCTGGTGATTTCTCACTTTCTGTCTCTCTGTCTCTCTCCGTCTCTCTGGCGAGTGGACATACCCTATAGCAAAAATCTCTCTCAAAAAAAAAAAAAATTCTCTACAGTAACACCAGCCACAAAGAAAAAAAATATATAAATTGGATTTTATTAAACTTAGATCCTTCGTTCATAAAAAGACACAGACTTGGTAATTTATAATGAGCAGAAATGTATTTGGCTCATGGTTCCAAAGGCTGGGCAGCCCAAAACCAAGGCTGATCTGTTGAGGGCCTTCCTGCGATGTCATACAGGGCAGAAGGCCTCGCACAGCCAGAGAGAGTGACAGGGGGTAGGTAGGGGACCGACCATCCTTTCATCAGGACTTCACCCCGAGGTAACTGGCCCGCTCCTGTGGTGATGGCATTGCTCCATGGATGAGGGCACAGCCCTCGTGACCTGACCACCCCTCAGAGGTCCTCCCTCTCAGCACACTGCACTGGGGTTAGTAAGTTTCCAACACACGAGCTTTGGGGAGACACACTGAAGCCCCAGCACACTGTTAAGAAAATAAAAAGGCAAACCATCGATTAGAAGAAGAAATTTGCAATTCATATACTCAACAAAGGACTTATATTCAGGATACATGGGAAATTTCTGTACATCTATAAGAAAAAGGAATACGACCCAATAGGAAAATATGTGAAAGATTTGAACAGGCATTTTAGGAAAAAAAAAAGGAGGTCCAAATGGCCATGAAATGCAAATTAAAACATAAAGACTGAAATGAAAATGATAAAAAACACTGAACCCCGACAAAGACAGGGAATAACTGAAACCCTTACAGTTGCTCGTGGGGGATAAATCAGTACAGTCACGTCGGAGGATTCAGATTTTCTTCTTCCAAGAATGGGCATGTTCTTCCCACCCACTCACCTCCCCCACAAAGCAGCAACGACATTTATCTTTAACTTAAAAGGCCAGGATTTCAAAATATATCAAATAATGATGCAGAAAGAACAGGGTCTTGGGTTTAGCTACACTGGAGGATTCACTGGCAGTTGGTAGAACCACAGGGACGCTGAGAGGGCTGCAAACATGTCGGGCTTCAAAACTGAAGAAATGCAGTGGCTGACCTTTTTAAGCAGACCCCATGGGCTCCGTGCAAACTGCAGGGCGTTCTTTGAGGCCAGGCACCAGAGAGGGCCTGCTGGGGACTTCGGCGAAGGCAGGTGAAAGTCGGCTGAGGGGGTTCCTTTCACATGAAACCATAAAACAATCTTCTTTAGAAAAATGTGTCTGTTACAAATGCCCTGCAGAATTAGGGCTAGATCACCGCGAACGGGAAATTTGCAATGCTTCGCTCGGGCCTTTGATATCATGCTTTGCCCTAAATCTAAGAGTTAAGAATTATTCCTGTCAGGTAACTGTTTTTGAAGTTCCTGGGTAAGTTCTGCAGAGCAGGAGGCTTTGCTGCAGCTCCTAATCAGGGAAATGGAGAGACGAGTGTCCTTAACCTCAAACCCGGCTTCTGGGACCCGCTTTCCCTCTGCCCCCCTAAGCCAGATGCTTCCAAATCCTCCACACGATGATTCTGGTCTCTGGGAAGGTGTCAAGTCTGGGGCCTTTTCTCCTGGGGTCCCCAGAGCCATGACATGTTCATGGAGGAAATTTAGGGGGAGGGGGATCTGAGAACTTGGTCAGGGAAAAATATATTCATCGGCTAACTTCTAACTGCCATTTAGCACTGCAGTTGGAAAAGCAGATGACTAACCGCGGCTACAGTGCCAGCCCCGACTGCCATCGGCGGAAGTCACGGATGTTGCCTTCGAGCTGTGGACATTGGAATCAAGTTCTTGCTCACCTGCATGTCACCACTGGCTATTCCAACCCTCTGCTAGAACGTCTTCCTTAAGGCACTAACCAAGAAACATATGCATTCTCCTATCGAACATTTTAAAAATATTTTGATAATGGGATTTCAGTGTAACTGTGATCTTACCTATTTGGGGCATATAAAGCATCATCCCGAGGGACAGCTGCAGTAGCACAGTGGTAAGACAGTACTCTGCCAGGCTGGGCCCTCAGGACGTCCTGGGGTCTCATCCCGAGGTCCCCTTGTACATGCTGGGTGCACGTGTCCATAATCCAGGCTGGCTGAAACTGGGGGTGGGTCACGGTGTATTGGGGGTGCCTCTCTCTCTCTGTCTTTTCTCATGGAGGAAATAAATAAATACAAATATTAAAATTAAAGGGGAAAAATGTATTATTCTGAGCTGCCCATAGGGTTCCCCAGTCTAACAAAGGGGTTCCTGGCATGAAAGAGGTTAAGAACCCCTCTCTCTCGAGGCCAGCAGATGGAGTGATGGTTATGTCACTGGACTCCCACATGACTGAGCACAGTTCAAGTCCCGGACACTCTGGGTTGAAAATCACACTGGGTACATGTGCGTGCATGCCCAAGATCCCAGGAGGAGGATAAAGGGGGATTGTGATATGGTCATTCCCCCTGAAGGGGCTTTCTCACCTTCCTTCTATCTCTGTCTCTCCTGGGTGAGTGCACACGCCCTGTGACAAAAGACTTTTAAAGAGAAAAAGAACCCCTCTCTGGACAAGAAGATGTGAGACTTGGATGGGGCAGGGAGGAGGAGCAAGGTGAGGCCAGGAGGTCTCGTGTTCACATCTGGAGACCTCCCTGAGTACGCCAGGCCCAGGTGCTGGCTAATCTGCCGAGGGCCTTCTGGCTGTGTCATCATATAACACCAGGCACCCCATGGCCAGAGAGCAGGTGAGAGACGGGGGTAGGGAGGGCACCAAACCCACCCTTTGGTCCTGGCACAGGTGTAGTTGGATACAGTAAGGGGAAGCCTGGCCCGGAATTTCAGAGGTCCAGAGGGACACTGCTCAGGGCAGCCCTAGGACACGTGGCAGAGAGAACTCCAAAAGTATCTGTGGTCACTTGCTGAAGCTCTAGCTATGAGCTAGGAAAGACCTGGTTCAATCCTGGCTTTATCACTCACCTTGGATAAGAGATGGTTCACCTTATCACAGAGAACCCCAGTTTCTCCATCTGTAAATGGTAAAGATCACGTCTGCCTCAAAATTTCGGTCAAGTTAAATGATGTATTTGTAGGTATAATGCTGAACAAAGACAGTGAGTTATAGGAGAGCTGCTCCTTTAATGCAAATGATGAGTGCTACAGAACTGTTACGCAATGCTTATAAAGGCTCCCACAGTAATATAGGCAGTCACGCAGAAGACGGAAAAACACCCAAGATGAAGTCCTAGGGGTTATGTCTAGAAAATGGAGGGAAATAGGTTTGGGAGGAATACCAGCCATGGGTGAGGGCAGGACAGGGATCTGAAATAAATATTTAAGGCTTACATGTGATGAAGCACAGCTCAGGGCGTTTTCTTAAATTTTATGAAAGTGACCTATGATAAACTAAACACATACAAGTATATAATTTGATCTTTTTTAAAGGTTTTTGCCATAGGGTGCACATGCTCCCTGGAGAGACAGAGACAGTGAGAAGGAAAGTGAGAAATCACCATCCCCCCATCCCGGAGAGATGGCCATACTACAATCCCCTCTCCATTCTCCTCTGGGATTTGGGGCACACATGCATACACACCTGGTATGATTTCTTTTAAAGAAACTTATTAATTTTATTTATTTATTAATATTGGTATTTTTATTTTTACATTTGGTATAGGGCATGTGTGCTCACCAGAGACTGACAGAGAGTGAGAGAGAGAGAGTTAGAAAGCAAGTCATCAGGTCTAAGACTCAAACTGCGGTTAGCCATGTGGGAGTCCTGCACTTTAACCACCATGACACCTGCTGGCCCCTGGTATGAGTTTGAATCCACCAGGTTAGGTTCAGGATTCAAACCATGATCAGCCATGTGGAAGTCCAGTGCTTTACCTGCTGGCCCAGATAAGTTCTGACATAGGCACACATTCCTAAAACCATCACCATAAGCAAAATAAGGAACATATCCACCACCCCCAAAGTCTCTTCATACTCTTTTGTAGTTTCCTTAATCTGCCTTTTCCCACCCCCATTCCCAGGTGATCGCTGATCTGATTTCTGTCATTATGGATTATTGTGAACTTTCTAGAATTTTCTAGAACTGGAATCATACAGCATGCACTCCTAATTTTGTTTTATTTCTTTCACTTGGCGTAACTATTCTGAGAGTCATTTATATTAGTGGGCATCCCAATAACTCCTCTCTTTTCACTCCTGAGTGGTAGTCCCTTGTATGGATGTACTACAACTGGTTTACCCATTCCCCTGTATAATGTGCTCAACAAGGGGCCGGGCAGTAGTTCAGTGGTTAATGCAACACTTCATGCGGTAACTCAACCTGGAAGGCTCCATGTTCACATCTGGGAACCTCCGTGAGGACTCTGGCCAGACATGTGCCCCTGATCCAGGGCTGGCTGAGGCTGGGAATGGGTCTCAGCATCAGAACCCTGTTGGGGGGTGCTCTCTCTTTCTCCCTATCTCTCTCATAGAAGAAATAGATTTTTTAAATGCTCATCAACAGGCCAAGGTTGGTTTCAATTCACACTTGTTCTGGAAGCAGAGTTTTGTTTTGTTTTGTTTTTGTTTTTGTTTTTAGGTTTTTGTCACAGAGCATGTACACTCACTGGAGAGAGACAGACAGTGAGAGGGAAAGTAAGAAATCACTCCCTGTGGGATGACCATGCTGCAACCCCTTCTCCATTCTCCTGGGATTTGGGGCAGTACCCGAAATGATTTTTAAGCCACCAGGCCTGGTACTTGAACACAGTCAGCCATGTGGGAGTCCAATACCTTAGCCACCATGCCACCTGCTGGCCCCTAAGCAGAGATTTTTTTCACAAGTACTCAGTCCCACTTTCCTGAATTATTAATGGTAAAAAATAGTATTACAATAACAATAGCTAGCAGGCTCTTTTCTAAGTGCATTAAATGTCTTCATTATTTTATTTCACAAAATCACTCTATGAAATTAGTAAATGAATTATGAAAATCCCCATCTTGGAGATGAGGAAATGAAGGCTCATTCTAGTGAGTACAAGAGCCAAGAAGCGGGGCTTTGACCCAGACAGTCTGACTGGGAAGTCTGCGCCTTCATCTTCAAGGACAAAATTAGACCGGGAGTCTCTTATTCTGTCACAGCTGTGGGTCCCTACCTCTTCCTGGCCAAACGGCATGTGAGACCATGTAGTACTTTTAAGAATGAATCTCTTAATTTTAGTCTTGAAATGATCATAGAATTACACATAGTGTAAGAAATAATACAGAGATTTCTGCTGACGGTACCATCTTGCAAAACTGTACACAGTATCACCACCAGCATACTGACACCAATACAGATCAAGTACAGAGCACTGGGGACCAGCAGATGGCGTAATGGTTACATTGCTGGACTCCCACGTAGTTGACCACAGTTCAAGTCCCAGACCCAGTGGCTTAAAGCTCACTCCGGGGGCATGTGTGTGCATGTCCAAGATCCCAAGAAGAGAGTGGAGGAAAAAGGAATGTGGCATGGCCATCCCCCCGGGGACTGATTTCTCATTTTCTGTCTCTCTGTCTCCCCAGGAAATACATGCACCCTATAGCAAATCTCTCTCTCTCTCTCTTTTTTTTTTGGGGGGGGGGGGGAGAGGTTTTTACTATAGGGCACATGCACTCGCCAGACAGAGAGAGAGAGAGACAGAGAGATAGAAAGCGAGAAATCACCCCCCCAGGGGGGATGGCCATGCCACAGTCCCTTCTCCTCTGTTCTCCTCTCGGGATCTTGGGTATGCACGCACACGCACGCAGCGTGAGTTAACCCCCCCGGGTCCGGGACTTGAACCACAGTTGACTACGTGGGAGTCCAGCGAGATAGCTATTACACTAACTGCTGGTCCCAGCAAATAGCTCTCTAAACAAAAAGAAAGAAGAAAGAAAGAAAGAAAGAAAGAAAGAAAGAAAGAAAGAAAGAAAGAAAGAAAGAAAGAAAGAAAGAAAGAGAAAATCTACAGAACACTGGACCAGCAGAGAGCATGGAAGTTAAGGCGGCTGGATCCCACATGTCACGATTTGAGTCTCAGATCAAGTGACTTGAAAAACACACTGGGGACATGTGCATGCTGTCCAAAATCCTGTGAGGAGAATAAAGGAGGAGGGGTTGAGGAGTGGCCATCTCCCATAGCTAGTGATTTCTCACTTTTTCTGTCTCTGTCTCTGTGGTGAGCGCACATGCTCTACAGCAAACTAAAAACAAAGCAAAACAAAACAAAAAACCACAGACCACTTCCGTCAACACAAGTCCCCCTCATGTTGCCCTTCTGTAGTCAGACACCCACTTCCAACCCACCTCCCCCACGCTCTGGCGATCATTGATCGATGTCTCCGTCTCGTTCATTTTAGAACATTTTATTACAATTACACAGCATCTAGTCTCTCGGGATTGGCTCTTCTTTTCCCTTCTCACAGCCTTACCATGTCGAGTTCCTCTTACCTCAGCCTCCCAGCGGGGCTGCAGGTATGTGCCACCACACCTGGCTGTTAAGCGTTTTGCTATGTCGCTCAGGTCACCCTACAGCTCGAGATCCTTGGCCTGGTCACTCTAAGTCACTGGGATTACTGGCACAAGCCACTGTGCCTGGCCTTCAGGTTGGACCAGGGATAAAATTCAGACTCCCTCCATCCCACTCCTCCCAGTGTGGTCCCGCCTGTGCAGCACAGACTCGTAGTAAAGTGTGCCGCCGTGTTGGGCTTGAAATAGGCCTTTTCTCTCAGCTATTCTCTGGAATTCATCGAGGCTATTGCACGCATTAATAGTTTTCTCATAGGTCCTTTTCGTTTTGTTTTGTTTGGAGAGGTTTTTGCTATAGGGCGCGTGCACTTGCCAGAAAAACAGAGAGAGACAGAGAGACAGAAAGTGAGGAATCACCCCCCAGGGGGGATGGCCATGCCACAATCCCTTCTCTTCCATTCTCCTCTCGGGATCTTGGGCACACACGCACACGTGCCTGGCGTGAGTTTAAGCCACTGGGTCTGGGACTCGAACCACGGTCACCTACATTGGAGTCCAGTGACAGAGCCATTATGTCAACTGCTGGTCCCTCATAGGTCCTTTTTATTGCTGTGTAGTATTTCATGCTGTAAGTATATCAGTTTGCTTACCCACTCACCAGT